CTTGTACTTGATCGAGCTTGCGATAATTAACCATAGAAAGGTAGACAAATGAGATAAAAAGAACAAAGCCGCTTGAGCTGTTGTACGCAAAAAATGAACAATAAATTCGCCTGATTAGATAGCCGTGATTCTGAAGATTATGGAACAAAAAATGGAACAAAATATGTCATTCCCTTAAAATCTACGTCATGAATTAAATTCAACTTGTTCAGTCATTCCCAAGATTGTCTTTGCTCAGGAGCTTTTGCAGCATAAATGTTCTTCCTTTTGTTGTGAAAGTGAAGTGAAGTGATTGACGTAAGAAATCATCAAAATTTTTATAGAAAATATTGTTTACAGAATTATGAATGAATAAAGCCTCGGTTCCCTCGATAACTTCCAATATAATCGTGGTAGGGTCAAAATCATTAATATGATAACTATGAAACTACTTCTTCGCAAGATAGAGCCTCAGTACAGTTAAAGATGGAAGTGTCAAAATGCTAAGGTCTGTAAAATGGTTTAGCAGTGTTACTTCATGCAGGGTAATCGTATCAGCTCTGCAGTGGACCTTTTCTGTGAGATTACAATGAGCGCGTAGATGATTGAATCGTCACAACGACCTCCAAAAAAGCTTATAATATTACGCATATTGTACAAGATTGCTTCCCGAAAAAAATAATTGTGATACTGTGATTAGCATATCCTTCCCAGAAAATTCAGTAAATTCGATTTTCCACTAAGCAAATACCTTAATCCTAGAATAAGAAACTATGGTAGTAACAAGGTAGAACACTAAGGCTGCCATAAAGTTTAAATAGAAACATAGAGAGTGAAAATGACTGCATATTGAGAAAACAGAAAACAGCAGAGAAAAAGACACACTAAAATTTGATGTGCCGATAGCCCTAGTATGTAAATATGAGCAACTGGTGTAATGGTTATGCATCAATTACTTAGGCAATGCAAAGAGGCAGTGGTTTTTTGAGAAGGCAATAGGAATGACGTCTATGAAATCATATGAATTAGTGATTTCTAATATTTAAAAGAATCTGTAGAAACTGTCTTTTTACAAAGAGAAAGAA